GTAGAAATTGCTGACACTGGCGTGAAAGGGCTGTGACCATCTCTGGATCGAATGGCGTTCTTTCTAGAGCTTTCAGGCTGAAGTCACTGAAGATGCTTGCGGACCTGCTTGAGACTTCCAAGCTTCCCTGTCCTGAAAAGCTCTGGGCAAGCACCCTCCCACTCTCGGACTAGTGGAGTCTCACTTGTTCTGACCCTCTTGCATTTCTGACCCAAATTAAGAGTTTACTCATAACGTTCAGAATACACACTTGGGCTTCATCTAAGCCACACACTTATTTATTCTTAAGACCCAGATAAATCCGTTCACATGCAAATCCATCTGTCCCATTTAGTTTTGAAGTCATGTGCAGGGAATTTTCGACATCTCTCATCGTGCCCCTCTTAGCATCAATGACGGGGCTAAATATATATCAAGGCAATGAATACATGGGGAAAAATTACTAACCGCGTATTTTGGGCTGCCCTCAGTAGCCAGTCCTTATTTTGCAAGGGCAAGTGGGAATATCTGGGATAGGTAGAATAAAATATTCCCATTGGGAACTGACTGGGCTCCGCCCTTCCCACTCTGAACCCATCCACAATGCAGTTAATAAAGAAGAGCTAGCATCGATCGCTTACACGGTACCAATCGCTGTGCTAAGCGCTGTGACAGATGACTAACACACTTGCATTTAATCCTCCCTACATCCCTGGGGGATAGGCATGTGCCGCTCCTGTTCTACAAGTGGAGACATCAAACTTTAGAAAGGTGAGTCACCTGCAGCAGATGACATCTGTAGGAGTGTCATTACTGGTCATGTACTCTGACTGGAAAAAGCCCTGTTGAACACCCATTCTGTACTGGATCTCTACGGAAACTCCCAGCTGCTCATGATGAGATCTTGCAGCAAAGGAACAGTCTGACATCAAATGGTAATTAGCCGTGCTGCAATTTGAAGTACACACAGATCCACCAGGTACCCCCGGGCTTTTTCCCCGACTATATGAAACAGGGATGAGATTGGTCTGCACAGCCAGGTGAGAGGTGGGCAGGCGTCACTTCTGATTGTGCAGATCATAGACTCGGATGACTCAGTGCAGCAGCTGAAACTGAGCATGGTTTTTCTTTTCTTTTCTTTTTTTGCCATTCGGAGAATCAAGGGTAAAAACCCATTTCCCAAAGATGCTGTCCTGAGGCACACAAAGCTGTGCACAAGGAAAGCTGAGGTTTGAATCTGGGGGTGACGCATTAAGATTCTGAATCCCAGGCCCTCATCCTGCCTGCTAATCCTGCTTGAAGTTACCATGGTTGTACTGCTGTGCCCTCTCACCTTGATTCTCCCCAAATTCAACCTCGCTCTGTGCTCGTGAGAAACGGACCACTTCAGCACCCACACCTGACCCAAATAGACAACCGTGGGCCTCCCCCATCTCACCACCTGGCCCTCCTTAGCTTAGCAGCTTAGAGAGCAAATGCTGCTCCTCAGACCTCCCCGAACCATGAAACTGAGAAATACCATTGAGACACACAGAGAGTCATCGCTAGGAGACATATGAATACACAGGACAGTTAGCAAGGAAATGTGATAACTACTGGAGTTTGGACCAAAACAGTTTCTGGCTGCCTTTTTTTTTTTTTTTTTTTCTTAAATGGAGTGAATACAGGCTGAAAGAAGACAATTTTTATAAACAAGTAAAACCCTGAGCCTAAGATAAATGTTGTGATGTACACACTGTAGCTGTGATGAACTAGACATGGTGAGAAATGCAACATACTGAGAAAAAGACGAAAACTGTGATAAAAGTGTCATGATGCAAATTGTTTTACATTAACAATATTACACTACAAAGAAAGAAAGACAAATACTTTAATGCAGCAAGAGAAAAATAAAACAAAAGCTTCCTTTGCAAAGGCTAGAGAAGTGGGCCATTTCAAATGCACACTTCCCCCAGCTCCAAGGGAGAAACCTTAGCGGGACCTGTCGGGTAGGGGAGGTACGCAGCCCGGAGGCATAAAGGCACTTCACAGGCTCTCAGGCTGCAGGGGGACGTTTCCGCACCAGAACCAGGCAGCTGTGTGACCTTGCCTCTGGGCCCGCTGATCCTTCCCAAGGAGGCTGCGCCTCCTGTATCCTTAGTCCACACTCTTGACCACACGCTGAACGCTTTCCCCTGGGAACTGCACTGCCGGTGATAGCGCAGGACCTGCAGGCCTGGACTTACCTATCATTCACATCAGAAAACCTTGATGTGTGCTCATTTTACCCGCCACCATAGAAGAATCCCCCTTTGTCTACCAACGGAAGCAGAAATATAAAAGGAAATGGATGGTTATCTTAGAAGCCGAATAGTCTATCACCCAATTACTAAAAAGGAAGCTCAGAGTGATAAATGGGCAAGGATGCGAATGGTGGTGCAGTTGGCGCGCTCTTGAGGCTAGAAACTTCCGGAGAACCCTGCTGCCAGCAACAGTCTGGCAAGGGGAAGTGGGAAGGATTGGTCCAGTGGCAGTGCCGATTCCACAGCATCTCCGCGAGAAGTTTCTTTTCCCTCAAGCCCCAACAAGAACCATCTGTAACTGCTTGTTGGATCCTGCTGGTTCCTCAGTTACCTTCCAACAAATACATCTTTGTATTTTTGAAATGAAAGAGGGAGCCGAGGGAACAGGGAAGTCCTGTGACAGAGTGAGACTGTCTAACAATTCTTAAGCTGCCCCCTTGGGCCATCGAGCCACCAGGAGGTTCCATTGAGCCACCAGGAGGTTCCATTTTTTCTATGAGGGTAATGAAGATGGCAGCTTCCGTGTCTTGAAAGCTTACTTCAGGGCAGGTGTGTGTGTGTGTGTGTGTGTGTGTGTGTGAATCCTTTCAATGGTTCCACAAGGCAGGTCTGGTTACTCCGAGCCACGGAGGTGTCATGTGGCCTTTGTCATTGCGTGGACCTTCTTATGAGCACATACTCCCTCCCCCAGTTCATGTGGACACAGCAGCGTTGG